CCTATTTTACAGTATGATTGTTTGGCTCACGCATCCACAAATTAGCCCAATTTAATTTATCTAAATCAAAAAGTGAAGCACTTGATCAAAATTTTTTCGAGACCATGTAAATAAAAATCAATCCAAAATCAAAAATTGAAAAATTGTTTTGTGCTAAAGAGCTCCATTTGTACGAACAAGTGAAAACAGTGTCGAATTTTCTGAGATGTGAAAGCCCCACACAATTTTTGAACGAGCTCATTGCGGATAATACAGTGAATAAACTTTCCGAGATGCGCAGTACAGCAAGAAGACTACCAACAAGAGTACACAAAAAATTCAAATGAGTCAATTGTTGTTAGGCTATGAAAAAGGTTAAACATGATTCTAAATTATCATTCTGAGTTTCCTAAAAACATATAAAAATTCTGCTACCCGCAAAGTAAATTTATCCAATCAAAACTTTTTAGACTGCTACTTCCTGGATAACGAATACATCTCAGATATAGTTACTATTATATAAGTAAGATCCAAGATTTTTTTTGTCTTTTTTCTAATAAACTATTTTTTCTAGGTAAATTTCCTAGTAAAAAGGCGAAAATTAACATAATTCGAAATCTAAGTAACCACTTGATTTTATCTCATATTCTGAGAATTTATTTCTCACCAAGATTCAGAAACTTGATAAATAATTTTCCGCTGTGAGACACCTGTGAACGGATCCCTAGGTCCAATGGTGCTCTCCTAGGCAGTAAAATTGTTAGCGTGGTTTGTAAATTTTATTTCAACAACCCACAATGGAATTGCCTGAAAACAATATATAATGATTATTATTTTTGGTCCGAAAGAAAATGCTTACTCTGTTTTTCTGTTAACAAATTGTCAAATAAGTGCTACGTATCCGATAAAACTACTACTCCTTGTATTATAATTACTGTATATTATTTCCAAATCGAAAGGGTCTGAAATCTAAAATCCATGATAGGCAGGCAAGCATGAGAAATAAATTCTCACAAAAGAAATTGAATGTATTTGGCTGTCGTAATTATTATTTTTTTGATAATATATATCTAGCGCGTCATACTGATCAAATAGCAAATCGATGGTGCAATAATTGCCGTCATGAGCAATGATAAATTTCTGCCACAATAAAAACTAGCTTTTATTACTTTTTTTAAAGACTGAAGCTTTGTTGTTTTAAATGGTCTACTTTCATCATTCTTTCGCCAGTTGTAAATCTAAGCCAAGACACAGGTAAATTGTATTTTTTATATCATACTTAATTATGACCACAATAAAAACTTTGCAAACCAGCGTCTCCTTACTTTTTACATCCTTCGCAACCTTTATCTCATTTTGTAAAGTTTAGATCAAGTACATCTTCGCTTTGATATCGCTTCGAAAACTTATATTGATAGTGTATGTTTTTTTAATTTTTTTTTCAAAATCAGTAAAACCAACAAAGATTTATGTTTTTATTCAGGTAAAAAATTTCTTTTGTCAAATTATGGAAAATATAGACTTATTTTCATTGCTCCCTAAACTTCTCAACATGGTTTTGCTTTTTTCTAGATTTACGGACCAATTCAAATTTACTGTGGCACAGTTATGATAGAATGGTCCATACAAGCAATAAAAATGAAACTGGGTCTCGCCATAACAATTATATGAACTCATCAAGCATAAGTCTGTTAGAAAACCCGTGTAATATTTTTTGATGCTCATGAATTTTGTCTTTGGGACCTCCTAATAAAAAATACATTTAAGGGACCATTGTGCCAGAACTGAACCATCCTCAGAATGGGCTTAGGAGCGAGCAGTCATGAGACTCTGATGAGCGCAAACAAATGTGTTTGTTGCAACGAGTCATATTGGGTGAGATTTGAGCGCGACTATTTCTCACAAGGGACTTGTCGCTGGGCATTCCGCGGAACATATCACGGCAACGGAAAGCATGCGGGTAACAAATGTGTCACGAAAGTGTTCAAGGTAGGTGGACGTTCTCTCACTACACAAAAGTAACGAATCATTGAGTGATGATACCAATAAAAAACCAATTTAATTTGCATTGGCTATAATCAAACAATTATCGCTCGCCACACGATTTGAAAGACTGTCTTGTCAGTAAAACAATTGCCAAATTTTTGTTAGTCCGTATTCAATTTGTTGCGTGGATCGAATATGAAGGGTGATCTTCAAGATACACGTTGTATAATAACAAAGTGGGAAAATGTCTGTTAAAAGGACAACGTAGCTAGGCACTACGACAGCTGGGTTCCGGACCTCTTAGCATCTAAAGAAGCGGTAAGAATGGGGAAAAACTTCAACAGAGAGCACCCGACTAACCGACAAATTCAGTTTATCACCCCCCTCATCTGCAAAATGGACAAAATTGGAGACAGTGGCGGGTTTTTGTGGATCCGGGATGAAGATGAAAGATTTGTCCGAAAACAGGGACGAAATTCAAAATTACATATTTGAAAAGAAAAATATACTATGCTGAAACATGTTTTTTGCAGCCCCTGAAAAGTTTAAGCGGGTTAGAAAAAAAATAAATCAGTATTTCTGAGTTTCTATTCTTTTTGAGCCTACATATTTGTATCTCTCTGTTTTGACTTCATTTCAAATATGTTTATTTGTACTTCGTACAAAAGGAGTGGGTAGCTGTAGAGCCTTTTATTGAAGGCGAGTACAAGAAGTTCAACTCGAACAGTGGAGCAGTTTTTGGGTTGTCGGAAGCGCTTCCCGCGTTTTCTCACTACACTTATGATGCATCGGATCGAGAACTTGTCGTGTGCGATTTGCAAGGGGTATGAATTTACAACTTTAAAAGATGAAAACCTGAGTTTTTTTCCACAATTAATCATAACTTAATGAATTAGTGCTTTGCCTTATGACAAACTTGTTTTTTAAGCTAATTTATCATTTGTTAATAAATAAGTTTTCGGTTATGATCAATGGCCAATATTTAATGAAACTATTTCATCGCCTAAAATTTTATTAGCTTACGTTTCTAAGAGCTATTTTAAGTTTTCGTAAAAAGATGAGCATTTAGTTCAATTACTTTAGGTTCGATCCCACAACTACTACTATCTAACAGACCCGGCTATTTGCTCACGTGATGAACTCTATGGACCGACAGATATTGGAGTGACTGGTATTGCCATGTTCTTTGAAAATCACATATGTACGGAAATATGCAAAAATTTTGCAAAACCGAATATTGACAATGACTATGTGGTGAAAGGATTGCAGCCTAAAAGGAGCTCGAGTTATACTTTTGAGTTTTCAGGCGCAGAAAGGGCTGCGAATAGGTACTTCAGAAATCGAAAGACTCTGCCGGCCGTTTCCGAATAAATCATGTGTTGGCTCAAAAATCATGTACTGGTTAAGAATAAACAGAAAAAAACCAGATATACAATGTTTAAATTTTTTGAACACTAATTAAATTTGTTAAACCATCCTATTTTTAACTGATCAACTACTAAGAAGTTAGGCTTACATAGTATTTTTCTTTTGCTCAAACAAAAGATGTATAAAAACCTGTAAATATTAAAAGTTTCAATCTGAATTGATCAGCACCTCTAATAGATTTTTCAATTTATATTTTGTTGACATCAAAGTTAGATGATAAAAAATCGAAAACTTTGATTTTTAGTCAACAAGACTTAAGAGTTGTTCTTAGGAAATAATTTTTGAGTTTTAGTGTTTAGCGTTTTTTAGTGACTTAATTGATTTTCAGTGTTTTTCTAATGAAACTTTTTTTCTAATTTGGCTCTCTTGCTCACTAGAAATTTTATATCGGTCGTTAAAAAATCTGATTATTTAAAAAATTTTCCTCACTTGAAACAGAAAAAGGGAGCAGCGCAAATAAATGAACTAATTGTTATCCAAACTTTTTGTTCCGACTTTTGTATTTGTACTCAGGGTGGTTATTTTCAATTTTTAAGTTTCTTTCGACTTTTAAGTTGTTTTAGAAATTAACAGACAGGTAATTTTGTCCTGAGCTGAATTTTAAAAAGATATTTCACCTGTGATCTATTTTTAATGGGGTTTCAAAGATTGCCAGTGTGGTATAATTAACGCGCGATATATTTTGTGCTATTAACGTATAAGCCGCGACTTAACCCAACTTTTAAATCGAAAGCCTAATATTAGATTTATTTAGTACTTAACCATATGCTATATAACTTTATAGCGTGTGGGGAATGATTGCCACAAAACACTGAAAAAAAATTCAAATTGTTCAAATTTGATCTTTTTTAAAAGTGAACACTGTTCCATGGACCATCAACGGCAGTCGGAAATTTCAGAGCCTTGCCCTGATATGAGCAGTCTGGTTTCGTTTCAAAAATCAAATTGTAGCATAGTTTTTGAAAGTATGTATATAAAACTCTATAAAATCAAAAGGAATGTTAGGATAACTTCTTGCCATTCAAAAATCCCAAACAGGTTGAAATCTCGTCAACGGCTAAGAAATATCTGCAAAAAGGTTCATTAGATAAGAAGCCCTATAACTTGGCCGTTGCTTGCATTCAACCTCATGCTTGGTACTGCTTCATCGAGCAAGTTAAATTGAAATGATAATCTGCGTTATTACCAGCATGATATTACAGCGGTGTAACAAGCCTTTAACCAAACTGTGTGATTCGCCAGACTTTAGCCGTTTTTGTTCGTCTGCTGATTGTTTGTGTTGTTTCACAGTGATGTTAAGTGGTCTGGGGAAAATAAATAAATTAAGAAAATGCATATTTTCACTCTCAGTATCGTGTGTGTGCTACTGAGATTTTACCTTATTACCTTCTCGCCAACCTACATGGTAGCTGTTTCGACGGTTGAAGAAAGTGGCGGAATCCTTGCGCTCGGGTGGTGTTTTTTCGCCAGACTAATGTCGACTTTTTAACTAACCATTTTCGTTAGAATTTTTTTAATCGTCGAAAGGTATTTTTGTGCTTGGCTCAAACTTAGAAAGTTTTACCGGTGGTTATTTTTCGTAATGATATACTATTATGGGGGTTTAAATATTGCTAATAACGTCAATTTGGGACAGTTAACGTGCGATATAATTTGCACTATTTACAAGTAAGCTGACATTTAATTCGTCTCAGAAATCGTTCCAAATTGGTTGAAGCAGGATATTTTTAAAAAATGAAGTTAACTTCGAAGATATCTTTTTACGAAGAACATATTTTGGAATACCGCCAAGTCATGTGGGTCAGAATATAGCCACAATGTAGGACAACTTGATCCTTAACGCGAGACTCTACTTTAAACCCACAACTGAAGAAATTTTCACCCGAAAGCATTCGCGCAATAGCTAGAAACCCGAATAAATCGATTGACAATCAATCGATATATACTCAAAACCAGATATTCAATATCACCTTCAAAACGAACATTTTCAGAAAAATCCAGTATGAATAGAACCAGTTTGAAACTAGTTATTTAAACTGTATTTTCAAAAATTTCACTGTAAAATTTTCAGAACTTAACCAATCTTAATTTATGACTATGTCTGGTTTTATATTTGTAAACCTAAAACCCTAGTGGTTCCGAGAACTTAGAATATAGATTAAAATCAGTTACTTTCTTCTCTCGTCTAACTTTGCGATCAACCAGTATATCGCTAGACTATTTAGATAGGGAATATAGGAAAAAGATTAGGATTGGTTTTGCACTAAGGAGTTGCACGAACTTACCCGGCCGAAAAAGGATAGCGTGACAAACAGGCGGTGTACCCTATCCGAAATTACTCTATGAGTTAGACCATCGAACCTAACTCAATTGACCGGGACACAAATATCCAGACACGCTTTGATATTTGATATTTTTTTATTAATCTATCAACCGATCAATTGGTTCAATTTTTTGGTTAAAATATGATGTTCTGCTTTTTGTCGAACATCGTTTATTTTGTTCACTTTCCTCATCCGTTTTAATTTATGTTATGGACTGCTAAATTACTCTATTGGAAGGCCAACCTGACCTAAGCTCATCTAGCGTGACCAACGAATCTCGAGCAGACCGACCTACTACTAATTTAGTTTTAGAAACCATTAAACAAATCAGAAATCAGCTCATTTTCACTTCTCAAAAAGTGTAAAAACGCTAAACCAAATTTCAAAACGAATCTCCATCTCAAATTGACAGAAAGCAATCTGCATCGCGAAGCAATGAAAAGCAGATACGACGATAGAAATATGACAAATAAACTGTTTCTGCAGTAAGTCCTAATATAACTATTTTAGTTTCGTCAAATTGAGCCGTATATTCAAATGGACATAGCTTTATAAACTTAAGTAATATACTAATATACTAATGGTAATATCACTTACAATTAGACCTCAACCAACACACATCTAGCTCAAAACCTTATATCTGCACTAACTTTTCTAAAAAAATTTTTTAAAATTAATCTTGTTACATAACAAATAAAAAGCCAAAAACAAATCTAATTTTTATTTTTATAAATCATTGTACATCAGCGTTCATCGAAAATTTTTGTTGTTGTCTGATTCCTTTATATCAAATTTTCGTTAAAAGTTATTAACAAACAGAATTCTATTTAATTGCTAGATTATCAAGGCCTCTCTTTACCTTTAGAAGACCTTAAATTCATTTAACTAACAAGATCATTATGGCCTCTCCTTGAATCTTGAACTTCAAAAATGTTAATCAAACCTTTTCAAAATCTAAATCATCAAGGCATCCCTTGGATCTACAAAACTTAAAATTTTCAAAGGTAATCCATCCCTCTAGTTAAGTGTCTAACGAACCAAGATGTCGATTCACTTTTCAACGCTTTCAGGCTGCCCACGACTAACTGAAATTGATTTATTTTAAAACTTACCATTCAAATTTGAGTTAGGGTTACCAGTGAGGAAAATTAGTTACTCATACTTCACTTGATCCATACTTTTTGTTTGAGCCCGGCTCAGAACAACCCTTGAAATGAGTAAGCTCAAAATAGTACCTGACGATCTACTTCTGTTCAAATTATACTTGATTTCATTCGAACCCTGTGGACTGATTTACTATTCTCTAACCGTTGGTCTGATATCAAGTCCAAATTGAGTATGATATAAAAAACCTAAATGCAGAGAACTTCAAACGTTTTGGAGCAGTACACGACAACCAAAAGAAAATATCCATGTTATCCCCAAAACACTCTACGCGACAAAATTACTACCCAACGATTTAATATAATAATCACAGAAAATTAAGGACTAACAATTTCAGAAATTAGAACAGTTAATCATGGATTTTGCATCAACCTTTCAGTTTAACACTTATGGCAACACCTGATAAAGGAAAAAAAAACAAATATCCACAAGTGTCTCATAAAAGACGCCCGATACGATCTCGTAGTACCTTCATATCAACAAAGAGTAGTTTATATTGAGTCGAAAAACACTCGCAAACACTATTTATCTTTTAAACAAAATTAAAAAAAAAATTTGTTTTTCAACAAAAAGCAACGCAATTTCAGAATCAGAAACTACAATCAAACGTAAACTTCAGCAAGTCAAAAATCCGATATCAACACACAAGCACAAAGTTTAGAGGAAAGATATTTTTCGGACTCCGAAGCAACTAAGACATCATCTCTAAAAAGTGGGAGAAGAATGAGAAATTCCTACAACGAAAAACTAGTACAAACATATAATTGGAATCAACACCTAAGACGTTTTCAACGTTATATATTGACAGTCATACCACCTCGCAAAAATGATTCAAGAACACGACGAAAATTTTGAGGACAAATCTATCCAACCATTTGTCAGAAATCCAGAAAGTGCTCCATCACGAGGACAAGAACAATCTTGTCCTAATCTCATAACCCATTGATTTTATAAAAGCCATAGTTTTCAGAGATAAAATTGAAAAGACAGAGGCTTGACCACTACTTACCAAATCTGTACAACATAACTTCACTTTATGGAGTATTCACGATTGAAACCCTACCACCAGATCTAAGTAATTGTAGATGCCATAGAGATAAGTTTTTCAAGGAATACAAAAAACGCACAATATCAAGTTTCAGTAAAAGCAAACTCAAATTTCACAGATAATGTTACTGCAAAATCTTGTGGTCAAAGTTCCAAACTAAACTCAAATGAAATTTTATTTATTACCGGCACAAACAGCGCGACTTGAATCTGTTTTCAGAAAAAAAATAATATTAAAATATGACATTACCCGCTATAAAAAATAATTGACTTTCAAAGACTATTGAAATTTTTTATAATTGACTAGTTTGAACATAATATAGATCTCATAGAAGACTCTGAAAACAATTTAGCAAGAGTTGTGATGATGATCCATTTCTAGCAGATCAATCAGATTATGTATCATGCATGGAGCCTGCATTGTATGCTGATCT